CGATTGATACATTTGTATAAACGAGCGATTTCGACGATTATACTGATTATTCGACGATTATACTGATTCTGTTCGGATATTCTTATTTACCACAGTTCCTTCCTTATCTATACGTTCCGAATCGATTATTGCCGTAGAGTGAACTCTTGATGTTATCAACAAACTGGTTCGTTCGTTTTACGCAAAATGATGTGATAAGTGATCGCATAGTGCAGTTTAACAATCAAACAAAAGCATATTTATGTCGGGATGCATATGTGTTGACATGTAACGGTTCAGTGCTGATACAATAACGTAATGCTGTGTCCAGTGCTGATTCACTGCATGAACCAGTTTCGAGACGTTCCAAATTCATCAGCAATCAAACGGTCATCTGATCGTGAAGTGCAATTGCAAAAGCAAATGAAATGTGCGATCTTTGTTTTGCGACTAATTTCAAACGAATGCAGGATGGTATGCACTACTTCGGAGCTTAGAGAAAAATACTGCTCTAGGGAGAAAAAATTTATCCCTGAAATTTATGTCCCACTGATTTGCTTTTCTAGCACATCAATACAGCAAAAATATGAAAGTAGGCATCACAGAAGATACAATGGAATTCAAAATTCATGCTGATAAGGCGCAGAAATACTCAAATTGTAATTGTTGAAATAACATCTTACCATTTCGTTGCTGAACGGACAATACTTCAGCGATCTGTTGCAATCGCCCACTTAAAGCCATTTCCACATATTCACCTGCATACGAATGTGCGTTCAGGACGGCTGTTGCGAAGAATAGTGTCAGCAGAATAAGGAACGATATTGTGATGATCTGCAAGCGGCAGAAGCTGATGATAAGGAACCGTCGACTGAGAAATTCCCACAGATACATCTCTAGGTTTTTGAAAATTTTTAAGCATTAAACTCTCCCTCCCCCCATTATCTCAAGTGAATTCGAGGAAGACACGCCATAAGACGAAATTCACCGACAAATTTGCTCTAGTTTACTTTGGAAGTCGTTGAACAGAACAACTTCGATTCGGACTGACTCGATACACTGAAACACCCTCAGTGAGCATTTGCAAATGAAGAACTCTAAAAAAATCGAAATTTATACGCACATTCAAAACAACGAAAGGCTGCAAGAGTGCAGCTTTTTCTTGCCATAATCCTTGCAGTAAACAAACAACAGCCACAGAATCCACCACCAAAAAGAGCAATTCCCAATTCCAACCGATATCCGATAAGCCAATCGCTTTGAGCACGAAACTGGCGACGATGAAAAATGTCGAGATTGAAGCAATCGCATAGGCTGCAGTCTAAACATGAGGCCATATGGAATGCTTCAAGAAACATGCTCAATGATGGATGATATTGAACAAAAAGTGATTTAAAACGCAGCTGTGATCGTCCAAGCAGCAATTCTCAAGCTATGGACAGTCGGATATCTGGCCGCAAGCATTTAATTGCTTACAAACAGAAGGATTAAAGGAATTGATTGTGAAATGAGAAATCCTTTTTTGAGCTTATTTGTCACCTTGAGACGTCCGACTTTATAGCGATCACTTTTCAGTTTCCTTTCCTCACTACGGTTAACGCTCGTAAGATCGGGAATATCACGTTGCTTGAAGTGACCACGAATGTCCGATCGTTTTTTAGCTCGATATTTCATCAGGAGGAACCAAGTTACAGCGGGATAATAGAGGTGGATCAGTGAATTTAGCACAGGAGCGGATCTCAGATGCTCACTTAAGTAAGGAAACCAAATGAAAGGAGATGGATTTGATAAATATTGCAGCGATAGCAGTCGAAAGCAATATCAGATGATCAGCACTGAGTAATGCTAAGCTAACTGTATCTCTAACTAGATAAACAACATTTATACAGGGTCAACGATGCATCGTGTAAGTGGACGAAGGGATACAACGAGCTATGTTGTGGTGTGTCGAACGCGATAAAAGAGGATAATATCAAGTATCTTTTCAATGTTCGAGTATTTCGAGAAGTGCAATGATCCAACTGAAAATGTTCACTTTCCCTGTCTTGATCGCACATAAAATTGTCGACTGCTGGACCGAAATGAGCGATATCGCGCTATCGCTACTTAGGAAACATTGCGAAATGCCAGAATACTTATTTCGCTATTCCGCTATTTCTCTATGTTATTCCCATCTCCCAGCAGCTGTTCCCCATCTGTGCGGCTAGTCCTTGTGGAATTGAGTATGTAAAGAAGAATTCAAGCGCTGTAAATAACTAAGAACCTTTGCATGAAGTGCATGAAAACAACACCGATATTCCGGCTTATCATGATCGAATGGAACATTCCTTGAGCCCGCTCTGCGTATTGCCATCCTGAAAACGACAGTCAAAGTGCATCAAGTTGAGCATAAAGCGACAAACTACGCAAACGTTTTGCTAAGACCCACTAAAGATGTACAATTGCAGTCCATGAAAACCAGCAGTTCATTGCACTGGATCAATATCATTTTCTTGCCATGCTGCATGCTGTTGATAAAATTGCTTGAAGAGGAGCGGAATTAGTGAAGGAAATTGCTATGTGCGAAGAAATGCGAGTGGAAGACACTTTGTTCATCGATAAAATAACTGGTTCAAAGCAGTCACGTAGTTGCCAGGGAGTGATGACACAGATCTACGACGATGTGTCACCAACCACAAATAATGTCTACTGGAAAAAAGTCATTGAAACAATCAAAAACAAACTATGAGCGACGATACTCAAAATTTACGCGCATCATTCCACGAAAATTTGTTATTTCTCTAATGCGATGATCTAATTTTTTTCATTCAAAATATTGTTTTTCGCTGTTTTTGAATGGTTAGAATAAGCTGATATGGTTCGGTGATGAAGCACCTGTTCTTTTGATTATTATCGTTATTGTTATGATACAAAATGATAAGCCATTCACAAATGTAAACAATCAACATTTTCAACAGTGAGCAACAGATAATATAATGTTATCTGAGTGTTTGTTGTGGAAAAATACATTCATTTTTGGTAAGGAATAACTGAACTATTAGGTGAAAGTATTTAGAAAGACTAAAGACAGTCTTAGTTTTTGAACCTTTATCTAAGCACTGATTTATCTAGGGGTTCACTAGGGTCAGACGTTAATAAAATGTTTCTAAGCGGTACATATTGCACTAATAGCTTTTCAAACGAATTGCTTAACCCTATCTTTTAGTGCGAATCATTTTTTTTTCACTTTTCGCTAATCTTCACCTATCAAGTTTTCATTTCTTTTCATCACACAACAAGGCAGTGTTCATTTTGTGCTTACACGTGAGCGCAACGATAGTAGCAGTGTCATAATCGCAATATACTAATGCTAGTTAATCAACACACGTTCATATGATCAAAACTAAATGTTGACACACCAGGTGAATGCTAACCATCATCTAAAGTCAGAAAAAGGAATGAAAGAGTTGTTCTAATGCGCAAAAATATGAATTATCTGAAAGAAATGCAGAAATCACGAAGAAATCCTTATTCGAAGCGTTAAATTCCCATTAAAATTCTATTGATAAGTATTTAATTGCCGCTTCTCAATGTTAG